GACTTTCGGAGCAGGGAACAGGCACCAGGAAACATGGGGGGGGAGCGGTAAGAGGAGCAGGCTACTTCTTCTGGCTTCTCTCTTTATAGTTTGCCTTTTTATGTGACTTGTTTTTGTTTTTGCTTCTTTTGAGGGCTTGCTCCTCCACTTGTGGCTCTTCTTTGAGCAGCCCCCGCCCTCTCCCAGCCTACATCTGAACTCAAGGTGTGCTAGTTTTTCACTGGCTTCTCTTGCCCTCGCCAGCGGCAACTTCCCTGTTAAGCCTCCTCCACTTTGCGTTCGTTTTGATTATATTGCCGGAAATGCCGTTTTACACGTGAATGAAATTGTGAAAAAGCGATTGTGAAGCAACGTTGCCAATTTTCACTTAATACCAGAAATATAACCGCTGCATGTAACCTGAATTTAAGCAACAATTAATGTAAAAATGTACTTAAACTCTGCACAAAAATGCAAATCGAATCAAGAGAAACAAAACAGAGATGAGAGTAGGGCATAGAAAAGAGAGAGGAGCAGAGTGGCAAGCTGATAAAGGGAGAAATAGAAATAGAGAGAAATATATGGAAAAATCCACCCTCAGGGGGACCGAGCTGTAAAAATTGCACTAAAGGCAAAAATGACGAGGGGCACACAGGAGTGCTACCAACGACGGGATGAGGATGTTGCTCTGTTGATGTTGACATTACCCAGCACAAAACAGCAGCAACAACAGCAAGGGAAAATAAATCAAAAGGGTTACAAAATCAAAGGAAGGCCTAAGCAGCAGCACACAGTGTTCTCGTGGAGAAGGTTGCTGAACCCCGGAAAATTTATCCCTAACGAAAGGGACCGAAAGGTCGTTCCTATGACAGCATATGAGCAAATTTAAAAAAAAAAGAAGAAATGTATTACAGTTTTAAGAATTCACTTACCATACTACTCCGAATGCACCATAGCCGATGGGACGATCAGGCTGGACATCCTGCGGCACAGCTGGCGGCTGGTAATAGGGGGCCGCTGCGGCCAATATTGCGCTGGCGCCCTGTGGCGCACCACCGGCAGCACCACCCTGTACCAGTGACATCGAAACGCTCATTGATGGACTACGGCAGCGACTGGTTTAAATAATTTGAGCAGCTGCACTCGCAGTGTCGCTGATTCTGATTCTGATTCCGATTCTGCTTATGGCTGCTGTTGCCGTTGCTGGAGGCAGATGGAGCTCAATGGAGTGTGGAGTGGTGCGTTCTGGTGGCAGTGGCGAATGGCTAGTGGCGTTGGCGGTCTCTGAGGTGGAATCCGTGGTAATGGTGGTGATGCCAGATGATTTGATGTGGGTGAAATGGTGTTGATTGCTCAATGGATGCCGCTGGGGGCCACGATGGCCGCCATTCAATTGTGAGCCATTTGTTGTTTTCCTTTCTTTCCCGCTTTCTTTCTTTCTATCGTTGTTCACGTTTTCTTTTTCACACTTTTTTTATAGATTATTTAAATGAGAGTTGAGGACATTTTGGCAACTGTAACGAGGGCAGAGAGAGAAAGAGACTTAGGGAATTGATAAACAAGAAAAAAGGAATAGCTACAACTTCGGGATCCGAAGCTTACAAAATTTTCTTCTGAGAAGAGGAAAGTTGAAATTCCTTTAATTGGCATTCCTTTTGTTTGGGATTTCGTTATTGCTGGCAAAAACGGGAGAGCGAAAAAGAGCCGTTTGCTTCTGGCTGCCTGGCTAGCTGCCGGGGCGCGTCCGTGTATTACATTGTAAGTGTATGTGTGTGTGCGCGTGAGTGAGATTTTTGTGTGCTCTGGGCCTTGCTCTGCTCTGCGCGTGGCTGCAGCAACGCGCTCAAAACGCGTCGAGTGAACTGGCCACGGGGAGCCATAGTAGCCCCTTCTCACATGCACAATAAATAAAAAATTTTCCTTGACATTTGGCAAACATTAATTGAGAGCCTCTCTGATCTCCCGCACTTGACAATTATGTGCTGGCGACGCGCATAGTCGCAGACAAAAAATCACTTAATTAAAGCAAAGAAAGAAAATCTCAAGTAAAGTTCCCAGGCCTAAGGAAAAAGTTTTTCCTGCTAATTAAACCTTGTTTGGGATAGCTTTTCTTTTTGAATTACCTTTAAATATGCACATTTACTGCACGGCGACAGCGGTTTTTTGTTGATGCCGACTGCGGCGACTCTTCCGTGTGCGCGAGTGGGCGATGGGGAAAGGGGCGCGGGTGGGAAGAGCACGCTGTGTGTGTGAGAGATGTGGCGATAACAAGGTAAAATAGAAGAGCCCTAACTGTTATTGGAACTTTTTTTTGTAATTATTGTTGAAGCAGACGAACACACAAAAAACGCGACGGAAACTATTGCAACGCGGAGACGGATACAAATACTATTTACTACGGTTGCTGCTGCTCACACTCACACACATTAGCGCATATAATATATATACACTGTCATATACTCTCAAATATGTAGCAGGCAAACAAACAATTGCCCGGGTCACTTTCTCTCGCTCTTTTAATATTGCATTATCTTTGTTATCACACGACGCGCGAAGCCGCAGTATTGTACAACTTATTTTATTGCATTTTGTGTTTTGCAGCACACTCCAACCTTTTTCACACGCGGCGGTCTTTCTGCCAGTGTGACTGCGCATTTATGGATGAAATACACCGGCAGACCCTCGGAAATATACCGACATATATCTTGCATTTTCAAAATAAACTGTAAATATACCGTAAATCATAAATTATTTAGCTCGTTTTGATGTTCTATTTAATGGTACGAGCTAGTTAGGAGTCTCCGCGCTAAAACTTTAATTTTATCCGATTTATCAATCAATTCTCCACAAGAGTGGCTTGTTTTCACGACTTACTTCTGGAATGTTTCCAAAATTAAGTTTAAAACTAAAACGGTCAACGAACAAAAATAGCATTAAACGTTACGCGAGTGGGAACGGAATGCAACGCAATTTGACAATTTGTTGCTTGTCAACAGATAGTTAAAGCACAGTATGAGCATTTGTATACCTATTTCAAATTGCAAAGTTGCTCTCAAACATTAATAATAACTTTATCTTGGACTGACATGTTTATAACCTTTTCATATGCCTTCTATGTATATACATATGTATATCGATATTCTCGGTATCTGCATAATTTGTTGGGATGGCTACAGATAGAATGTTTTTGCATTGATTAGAGACAAAGATTTCTAGCATTTTCTCAATTCGAGAATATTAATCCCTCCAAGGTTACTAGATGTTGCTTGTTCCATGAAAAATGTTGGGGAACAATGCTGCTTAATATTCCAGCAAGCTGCTTACTATTCCCAGAATGTTGCTGGTCCATACAAATTATGTTGCCAACGTTAAAATACGTAAGTGTGACTGCGCATTTATGGATCAAATACACTGCTCGTCCTTCAGAAATATACCAAAAAATACCTTTAAATTTTGCATAAATGTAAGCATTCGGATTCTTAAATCATTTTCCTCGACTTTGATATTCTATTCAATATTACAGGCTAGTGACGACTCTTGGTTCTAAAACTATATTTTCATCCGATTAATGAATCAATCAATCCTCCACAAGCTAGCTTATTTTAGGATATCATTTGTTTAGGATTGTAAATAGAAACTGATTTAAACAAAGAAAGTAAGCAAAAATTCCCTTTCATTTTACATAGTGAATACACCACATACAACAATTACAATTACTCATTTTCCAAATATCAACAACAAATTTAAAAGATCAAAAATGTTTGCCGCCCTCTGTCGGCAATATACAGAGAGTGTAGAGAATGAGCAGGCAAAGAGCCTTAAAAGAGCTCTTTCTGGTTTTTCCTGTGTTTACCTGTGTTCTCTACCTTGCCGTGCACCTGTTACAGAGAGCTCCGGAGATCAATTAACGCTCTCCAGATTAATTTTCTCGTTCCAAATATGAGCACAAAGATACCCTAAAAATATACCAAAAATGTTATTAATATACCGTAAATATTAACTACACCCCGCTACACATTTTCTACCATAAACACCTCTTTTGCAAGCTGCCTGTCTGTCGCCCTCTGGAGGAAGGAGGCCAAGCCTATATAAAAGCATCCGACAAAGGGACTAAAAAATGCTGGTCGTTTTTTGCCTGTGTTCCATACCTTGCCATGCTACTTGTAGAGACAGCTCAGGAGAGCAGTTAAAGCTAATTTTTGCAAGTCAATTATAAGCCCAATAGCCAAAAAAAAATACCGTATATATCCCAAAGAAAAAAACTGAAATTAACCCACATAAACCCCACTTAATTTGTTTCGCACACAGTTGTTTACTTTCTTTTTATTGCTGGAATGGAGCCTCTGCTGGAATACATCACCGACTTGGTGGTGACCCACCACCGCTGTAACGTGAACATCATACCCGAACACATCACCATGCTAGAGGGGGCCAAGAGCCGGAAGCAGCACTCGAGCAAGCGCCGCTCGCACAAATCCAGCACGCTGTCTCGCCGCGAGTACGCCCGCCTGGGCCTCAACACGCTACCCACCCGCCAGATGCGTTACGAGCAGGTGCTGCCCCTACACCAGCTCTGGCGGAGCTATGTGCGCGAGCATCTGGGCCTACGGGAGGGCACCCAGGTACCCGAGGTTCACGAGCCCCACTACGAGGAGTTTAGCAAACAGTTGATCAAGCTCGATCTGCACGGTGCCAGACTGAAGGTGATCCAGTCCAAATGCAAGACGCTGGAGGGACTGGCCGGCATATGTGTGATGGACACGAAGAATGTGCTGAAGCTGCTGGGCGAGGACGATCGCCTTAGGACCGTGCCCAAGAGCGAGTGCGTCTTTGGGCTATCGGTGGGCAATATGAATTTCACCATATTTGGCCAGCACCTGACCATCCGTCCGGCGGAGCGCAGTGTGAAGAAGATCAAGACCTATCTGCAGCCCTTCATTTAGGGCCAATAAATGCAAATCCCTGTACACACCAAACCGAACCGAACCGTACCCTACCGAAAAGTGTCTGTTTTTCTTTCCTTTTTACTTTTAGTTATATGTAATATAATATAAAATCGTATGTTTTAACTTTAAAGTGTTGTTTTGAGGGGTGGAGGGGGAATATCGCGCCGCGTTGATAGATTTAGATATTCTAGTAGTTGCTGTCGCTGCGGTGCTCCCCTTACGCAGCCGTCTTGGTCATGGTGATGACGGCGGAGGGCACCAGGCCGAGCACCTCTAGCGGCTTCTCGTAGTCCTCCTCGGCGAAGAGCTTGCGCGGAAACGTGGTCATCAGGGAGAAGGGTGTCTCTATACCGGTCTTCACTTGAATGAACACGCGCACGGCCGACAGCTGCTCCTTCACGTTGAAGGTCTCGGTAAGGGTGGAGCCATCCTGCAGACGCACTTGGATGCGGGTCTCAGTATAGTCGCGTGGCGGCGACTTAACGCCGGTGGGAGAGCTGACCGTGGTCGAGGTGACGGACGGAGCCGGCTCCGAGTTGGGTATTTCTTTATTTTCTCTTTTGGGATTGATCAAGTATTAGAATGAATATTCTCAAGAAATTATCAATGAAAGCCCTACCTGGCCTTGCGGGCGGCCTTGTCGGCCTCTATTTGAGCACGAACCCGATCGCGGGCTACCTTCTCCTCCTCCTTTTCGCGTTTGCGCTGATCCACGATCTTTTTCATCTCGATCTCCTCCATGCGACGCTTCGCTTCGGTCATGTCCTTACCCGATCGAATGCGATTTCTCTCGCGCTCCAGGGCATCCACCTTTTCGCGCTCCTCGCGCTCAATGCGCTTCTGCTTGAGCTTCTCCTCGATCACGGCCAGTTGGGCCTTCTTCTCCTCCTCGGTGAGAGGTTTCTTCTCATCCGTCGACTCAGAAAAGTTGCTGTGGCCAGTCTTGGCAGCATGGTATTCGACTTCCGAATGATCTTTCAGCACTTTGCCGCAGTCGTCGCACTTTAACGACTTGGGCACCGTCGATTCGTCAGAGTTTTCGACAGCGCCTCCGACGCCGCTGCTGCTGGGAGCTGGGGCCGACTCGTCGCCACTGGCGGAGGGTCCTGCTGCTACTGCTGACCCTGCGGCTTCACGCATTCCAGCGGATGGAATCTCCTCGTCAATATGGGCCAGCAGCCACTCCATGGCCGGCTCCACGCCCTTGCTGCCGGTCACCTGCATAGCGTATACCCTAAATAAATACCACAAAGAACAAATAAAAGACGCAGGTTGCCGGCATGAGAGAAAAATCTGGAGCAGCCACTCACACGCGCTCCTGGGGAAATCCCATATCGACCAAGGTCTGAACGTCACTCATAGCGATCGGATTTGAATGCGTAAAGATCAATTGATGGGAAAACGTTTTGTATCTGTATTTATTTATGAATCTTTCTGACAATGACACACAAAAACAAAGCAGTGTTGTGACCAGTGTTGAGAAGTGACGAATGTAAGCATTGCCATGCTCGAATTGTCCAGCCCTGAACCTGATTTTGTTCTTTTGCTGCTGCTTGCATTTTGTTTGGAAAATTGTCGTTTGCTGGTTAAAGAAATGACGCCAAAGATGAAGAAGGTCGTGATTAAGATACCCCGGCATCCGTATTTTAATGCTCAGGTGAACCCTGTGAACATGGTCGAGTACCAGCTTCGCAAGTGTCGCGTCAATTTGGAGCGTCTAAAGCTGACCACGGCGGGACCGTTTGCCCTGCAGCTAAAGCGTTGCATTGTTCGTGTGGCACGTCTGCCAGACGTGGAACGTAGCGAGATCTCCATCACGCCAGCCAGCTCCATCATCAACTCAGACTTGGACGAGGAGGGTGAGCAATATTTGCCATTCCATTGCAAAGCAATTTAATTTCCAATATCTTTTACATTTTTTCAGGCGCAGTCGACGAATAAGAGCAGTAGAGAGAAGACTAGACAAGAACCCATATATCAAAGGATATAGACACTTAAGAGCACATCAGAGTGCATCATAACAAGTTTATAATTATATAAATGAAATAAAATATATTCCCAGCTAAGGGTCTGAGGTGTCTTGGCTAGGCAGGGAAAGTCGGCGCGATTTTATTATATATTCCAGCAGCTCCGGAGGGAGCCGAGCCGTGCCATAGATATAATTGGATGTGGATGTCAGTGGGCTGGAGCCAGTGCATCCTAGTCCTGCTGGCACCGTCCCCGGTTATTTATTTGGAATTCCCACCAAGTTGGCAGCACCGAGCGGCACCGATAAAACCCAGTCATCGTCAGCTGTCAGCAGATTTAGTTTTTCTGGAAAAACAAACCAACTAAATTTTCCCGTAACGTAACACTTTTCCGGCAAAATAAAGCAGCACCGTTCCGAAGAGAAGAAGCAACATGAACTGGCATTCGGGCAACATTGCAGAGGCCGTGGCGGAATCAAAATCCAAAAATGCCATCTTTGTCGTCTACATACAAGGTATGAGGAAATTCTCCTGCACACACTCTTGTGTGTATGCCATATGCACCACGTCATTGATGGAATCAATAATCAAATCGCAATTGCCCGCAGGTGAAAACGAGCTGTCCAGCAAGCTGGAGGGATTCGTGAACGACGCGCAAGTGCGGTCCCGCCTAGAGAGCTCGGACTTTGTGGCCATCAAGGTCCCAGGCGACAGCACAGCCTATGGGCAGTTCATGTCCCTCTGTAAGTACTGAGTGCAGTATATCCTCCACGGACGGTCCTCATTTCATTTTTTCCCCACTCCCTTAGACAAAGTCGTCCCCATTCCATCGATCTTCTTTATTGGCAAATCGGGCACGCCACTAGACGTGGCCACTGGCATTATTGCCAGCGCCGAGGAGCTGGCCGCTAAAATCGACAAAGTTCTTGTCCTGGCAGGGAAAAAAGAGGAGAACCAGCTGTCCACCACAAGCAGCAGCTGCTCCTCAGCCAACCCAGGCACAAGTCCACGACGCATTGCCGGAGCCGATGACAAAACATATGAAAAAACCGAGCAACCCGATCCAGATGAAGTGTCGATGGCAACCAGTCTGGCCAGCAAATCAGCTGCTTCGACCACGGCACCCGAAAGCAGTGCAACAGCAGCCCCAGAGAAACCCAGCGTTTCTTCTACAGTTGCTGGATCCACAGAGCCCTCAAGGGACAACGAGAAGCCATCGACAACTTCACCTGTTGAGACGTGTGAGACCCCGGCCGCTGCAGAGGTGCCCCCTTTAGGAGGCTCCAGTGCGAGTCCCTCTCAGGCTGCCACTTCTGCCGCCGCTGCGGCTGAGAGAAGAGCAGCTGTCGCCGCTGCGGCAGCGCCTGCTCCTATTCCCACTCCGCTACCTTCTGGGCCGTTGTCGGCAGTGCCCGAGCCCACGCAGCGGCACCTAACCGATTCCGAGGTGCAAATGCTCGAGGTCCAGAAAACATTGGAGGAGAAGCGACGAGAGCGATTGCAGCAGGAGCAACGCCAGCAGAGGGAGAGTGATGTGAGGCGTCGTCACGAGGGAAGGGAGACCCAAGCCCATACCCAGCAGGCGCTCACTAAGGAGCAGGAACTCAAGAAAATGCAGGTAACTGCAGAAGAACAAAATCTCTTGCATCTTTCAATTCACAAACCTTTGTTTTCCAAGGAACGCATTCGTCGCAATCGCCAGGAGGAGCAGGAGACGCGCGACCGAATCCGCGCCCAAATCGCTGCCGATCGGGCGGAGCAGGCGCATCGTGTCCTCATAGCGGAGGACGTCCACAGCATAACGACCTCGACCTCGACCGCGGCCGTCACGACCGACTCTACCTCTACCACTAGCTCGGTGGATGAGACTCGTCTGCAGATCCGTTTGCCCGGTGGCATACACCGCACAAAGTCCTTCCCAGTCGGCGCTCTGCTAGGCACCGTTCGCGTCTACGTGAGGAATGAACTGTTGTTGGGCACCGATACGCGCGACTTTACTCTGGCAACAAGCTACCCCCGTCGGGAGTTTCGTACGGAGGATGAGGTGAAGACCCTGCTGGAGCTGAACCTGGTGCCCAATGCGGTGGTGCTAGTGCTGACTAAAGAGCAGATAAACCGCGTGGTGCGCACCGGTGGCTCATTGATGACAATGCTGACCACGGTCATGTGGGCCATGATTACGCCGGCAGCCAAGGCATTCGATTTCATCCTCAAGAATGGATGGCGTCCGCTGTCGCATAGGTTCACCGTGATGCTGGCCAACGTTCGCTGGCCGAATCGTGAGGGCGGTGCCAATGTGGTCCTGGTCCAGGGTGACGCGTGAGTACTTAATCGTGTGATTCAGCCATAGCATTCATTTGTGACCAACCCCCATTGCTCTCTGCTCTGCAGTGCCGCTCGGCGCAACATGGAAATGTTCTCTATGCGCCCCATGCCGGCGCCAGGTGTCAATCCGCAGCCGGAAGCACCCGAGGCAGCATCAAACACACCGCCATCCTCGACGGGAACAGAAAACGATGCTGCAGGACAGCAAGCAGTTCCGCAGCCGCACCAGACACCGCCGACTAGACCCGAGTTCCAGCAGCGTCCGGGGGGATACCAGCCACCGCGCTATGGGGATGCCAACATACGACGGCTGCACGATTCAAAGGACGACAAGGACAACAAGGCCACCTACAACGGCAACTCAACGCAACAGCAATAAGGAAGAACCACAAGGAAGGACTCTATTAATATATCCACTAAACCTACTGCATAAATATCTGTTAAACCAAATTAAAATCGTTAACTAAATCAACAAAATATTCCAAATATTTAGTCGATGTGAGTCCGTGTCTTTAATTGAACAAATGTCGTAGGGTTATCCTTAATAGCTAGTAGGGGAGAGGGAAACTGATCTTGCAGAGATCTGGGCGTGGGGCCTGGGGCATGCATGGGGCACGGGGAGATGTGAAACAAACTGTGAGGATGAAGGAATAGTCTTTGTTGGGCTTACAAAAGGAAAAGGTTTCTTAATTTGATGATTTGCTATATTTCCTTCTATACACAAAAAATACGCCTGGACTAAGTGAATGGGGTAGCCTCCTCATCCGCGGGGTCATCGAATTAGGGCGGGAGGGGACTTGTGTAGTGTAAGGTGGGGTGAAAAAACTATGAGGAGTCAACAAGTCCTCCTAAGGCGCGCCTCTTCGTCTTCCCAAAGGGATTGCAATCCCAAAACTAAATCTATACAAAATATAAGATCATTTCTTTCCACTTTTTCCGGTGTTCATTACAGGGTGAACCACATCAGAAACTGCAACAGCTTGTAGACATTCACCAGCGGGAACTTCCATTCCCGCTTGCGCTGGGGCGTCGGCACCAGACTGGGGTAGTGGACGAGGCTGCTGATGTGGCAATTGGTGGTGACATTGCCACCCGGATACTTGATGGAGACGGCATCGCCCAACTTGACCCCGTCGCAGTCGATCAGCTCGAGGGACTTGTTGAAGCAGATGCGTATCTCCGAGAGATAGCTTATCTCGTGCTTCGTGTCGAAGAGGCAGTGGATGGAGGGATTCTTGCCGAGAACCTTCACGATGGCATTGTTGATGACCGTGACCGTGTTGTTCGAGTCGGGGTGGATGTCCGAGGCGTCCAGGATGCGCGACATGATGTACTGCTCCCGCCAGCTGAGCCCCTGGGCAAAATACTTGAGCTCGTCGTCCAGCTCCTCGATGAGCATGGCGCAGGTGCCGTGCTTCTGCCACTCGTGCTTCCACAGCCACTCTTGCGAAGTGGCCCCCTTCAGATCCGGCCAGTAGGTCTCCAGGCGATTCGAGATGCCGTCCAGCTTGTCCACATCGAACTCCGCAGAATTGTTGCAGAACGACGGCCCCAGCGAACCCAGCTTGGTGGGCCAAATGCCGTGAATGGTCCAGAACTCTTTCTTCTGAGGCAGCGTGCACTCTTGCGAGGGGTTGTCTTCGCGCCAGTGATAGCAGGTGGTCACCGGCCATTGCTGGGTGAATATCAAGACATCCCAGTTGTGGTCGTGGACGCGTTGATGACGCTCCATCGCCCCCATCGGATCATCTACCAGTCTGGAGTCATCGAAGGGATACAAAGAGTCGTCATCGTCAACGCTATCATCGCTGTCGTTGTCAAGCAGTGGGTTCCTTTGTGGCTGTTTTTCCACTGAGAAGGCGGCTGATTCATCCGAATCCGATATGTCGTCGTGGACACTGTAATTGATACCCAGATGAGTAATTGCATCGATTTTGCTTGGCTTAGCTAATTTTCTTTGGGCGAAGGGGGTCACTGGGTCAACCTTGAACTTGACTCTCCTCTGTCATGCAATGCGCAACAAAGGATTGGCACTCCATCGAAACTGGTTCATCATTGACATTGACTGCTTGTCCTTCATTGGGTAGGGGACTCAAAGAGGCAAGTGGGCTTCCAGGTCTCTCTTCGCCCACGCAACCAAAAACAAACTCAAAGTTTCTTCCACTTTCTCCTCAGGACACAGGACTCACCTCAGTGGCGTGGACTTTGTGGCCACGAGACAGCAGCAGAGAAAAACTATCACTAAACCAACTTGATGGTTCTGCATTTTCGTAATATTCAGTTTTTTTTTTAATAATAAATAAACTACGCAGCGCTGTGTGACCGCGGATTTATGGATAAAATATTCCGCCTAACCCTCAGAAATATACCGAAATATACTGTCTCATTGCAAAATATACCGGGAATATTTCGACGAGAATCATAAAACTTAAAAAGTATTGTCCTACACTGAACTCCCAGTGATTGCTTCTATCGCTATCGCTTTAATGCGCTTATTAATTCATAATTTCAAAATTTGAACAAATCCGACAATTGCAAACCCATTAGGCCAGCCATTTACATTTGGGCATTCATCAAGTTTATCGCACATGAGCCAGAAAAATACCTTACTCGATGATAAACCAAAAAACCGTATCGCAAAAGGTTTAATTGTTTCAGTTAATCAAGCACGTACACGGCTTCGGATCTATAAAATACTTCGCCAGCTTGTCTGCTCTGTTCTGTTCTCTATTACTTGGTCTTGAAAATCCCCTTCGCATTCTGATAAGAAGCTCACAGTTCTTTCTCTTCTTATTTAGTCATCCAACTTTAATTAGTGACAACGATAATTACACATTGCGCTACCTCACAGTTCTTCTTGTTGCCTTTGCTGTTGCTGTTGTTGTTGTTATTGGTGGTGTATTTTATCTTCGGGCATGACAAAATGACATGACATGGAGCCAAACACCAAACGACTTCTGTTGAAAAACCAATGACTGCGTCTACTCGAACTTGTAGTCGTACTCGTACAGCAATACGAACAGAACAGAACAGAACAGCGAATCAATGGCAAGTTTGACACAAGAATTGCTTAGCAATTGATTATTTCTGAACTGTACTTTGTACTTTTGATGATCCCCCATAAAACAATCTAAGGGAAAGGGGCAAAGGGAACGGGGAAAGCGCCTGTAGCTGGAGTGGGCTTTGGTAAGTGGGGCAGCTGTCTGAATTCCAGTCTCATGGGGGAAACTGAAACTTTCACACATAATCCACACTCCATAACTCCATAGACATAATTGGGCTGTGTCAGTGATGCAAGTTCTCTACGCAATCGTAAGATTAGAGGGTATTCTCTCTACCAAACCATTCATCCAAACATTTGTACCCCATTTGTCAAATTCAATTAGTTCGATTCGGAGCGATAAGACTCATTTACATGACGAACGCAGCAATTCTAATCTTTGGCCCCCACCAACCGCATTAGCCAAACAAATGCCCACTCCTGTCCTGGGGTTTTATCAACAACATTTGTGATTATTTTCATGTCATGTTTTTGTAAGCCACACAGATCGGTAGAAAAGTAAGGGAGAGGGTTGTTTGGGGGCTTTTATGCTGATTTCGTGTGGGGACTTTTGTTTGATGACAAATTAATTTAATAATAACAGCTGCAAAAACATTTTGTAATCAACTTTTCCGGCCCGCACTTAGCAACAACAATTATCCTCGATGTACAATCCAATTAATGTTCTTTTTGCAGATATTTAAATGATGCATTCAGGTATTGGTGGATACATACAAATGCATACATAAGTACATACATACATACATACATATATGTAATATTTTCGCTTTCATTCGAACTTCCGTTGGGCGAACAAAAAAAAATATATTGAAAAGTTGTTCCCTCTCCCCAAGAAGTCATCATCGTCATTATCATCAGCGAGAGAAGCATTTCGGAGCAGCCTCATCTTTCATCTTGTTGTTTTGTTGGTAGGTAGTCGCCATTATGCTCTCTCTCCCTCTCTCTTTCTTCATCTATACAGCGCCGGCGCAAGAGAAATAGAAAGCCAGAAAGAGAGTGAGAAAGAGAGAGAGAGAGGGAGAGAGAGAGAAGATCTGGTGGGTGGAGTCTCTGGGCTTATACATATGTATGTAGAGCAAAGTCTGAGTGGAATTTCGGTGGGTGGCCGGAGTCCGGTAATTGCTTCAATTTGGCGTACATATCCGCATCCGTTTTGTCAGTCAAGTGGCTGACGAGCTTCCCCTGAATCCAGCCCCTGTTACTGCTTCAGTTTTCCCCCGCCAATTCCAATTCCACTTATTTTACTCTCTTTTTGGACGACTGACTTTCCTCCTTTTCCTTCCCTCCGGGGCTGCTCCCTGAGTTGTTTTTGTGCAATTGCTGTGTAAATGGCATGAGAATGATAATTGTAGCAATTATAATATTAAATTGGGAGATCATGGCTCACAGGGTTTCCCTCCACAATCAACCCCCACCACCGAGAGACGCGTTTTTATGTAGCATTCTTTTTTGCTGCCACTTCTCTTTCTCTCTCTCTCTCTCTCTCTCTCTCTCTCTCTCTCTGTGTGTCTGCCTGTCTCTTCCTGTCCTCTCCAGTTACTCCCTGGAGGAGAGGCAGTGGAGAATCCAATGTGGGTTGGATTTTTTACTCTCCACTGCTGTGTATTTTGTCGGATTTGTTTGTTAATTAGAATTCTAGCGTTGAAATTAAAATGCTCACTCCAACGGGGCTGCTGGGAATACAAGATGGAGATGGAGATGGAGATGGAGATGGAGCGATGGAGAGCTGTCGGGGAAAACTGTGCTGATAAGTTGCGACTAGTTTTTCAGGGCGTTGGCTGTGTGCAGCAGGAGCACCAGCCGTATGGCCCTGGAGGTTCTTTCACTTTTTTGTTTTACTTGTCTCCCTTTTCTCTCTTAATTACTGCAGTTTATTTTCTAAGTGAGACTAATTAACAGGCAATTCGTAGCATTGCGGCACATTTTACTCCTTTTTTGAAGGGTGGACCCGCAGTTGGGTGAAGGGGTGCGGCCAACCCCGAGCGTGGGTGTGTGTGTGTGTGTGTGTGTGTGTATGGGAGAGTGGTCAACATTTTTGGCTAGTTAGTTGGCTGTGATAGCATTGGATTTGAAGCTTGTGCGCCGCCAGTAACACGAAACTTTGTGAATGTTTTATGCCGAATTTCAAAGTCTGGCAGGATCTTTCGAAATTACTGAAAGTGATTGCCAATGCGGTTCTTTTGTGGTGATTAGCAATAATTGTAGTCCATAAATCAAAGCCTTGAATCGCTCTCATCACGAGTGGTTAGTTTATCCAGAAGAGAAGAGCAAATGGCAAGATGATCACACCACATTTATATGTACCTTCCCCATTGTTGTCCAGCTAATTCACAGTCCCGCCAGCCCCACTTCGGTTAACTAGCCCACAAATTTACGTTATTAGTACAACATTAGACGCTCGGCTAAT